TTGATCTGGAGTGAGAAATGTACATGTCCTGTCAGTTAGCATAGTCACTGCCTTTTAATCATGTCCAAGTTCTCGGTTAATGCCATCACCAGGCTCTGGAACACAGCGTAATTGAATTGAGGGTATAGTGAAAGAGAGGAAGAGAAAGTGGCAGGACCATTTCTCCTGTCTGTGAAAAACCAATTATTTAAATGTAAAGTAGATGGCTCCCTGCACCAAAGAAAACCATTAGATGACTTTTAGAGCTTGTATCTTGGGAAAATGTGGTTTGTGGACACTCACTGTTAAGACCGAAATGTGATTTTATAAAGCAAATGGCTTTTTCTTTGAGGTAAAAATGGTGCACAACATTTCACACTTGATGTTTCACTTGTAGTTTTTTATGGTTTGAATGTTCATTGGAAATTGTTTGCTATAAATTTAGGATTACAGTATTTTAACAGACAACTTAGGCTCATATTGACCAAGCATACAGGAGTATAAAGAATATTTTTCTGCCATAGTTGTTAGTTTTTGTCTGCTTTTGTTTTTTGATCATTTCTTTGGTTTTCTTGTGTCTTTAGTTCTCATTTAGTGGTTTTGTTAAGCTACTAGAGTACACTTCTTGAAAAGAACATGAGCTGATTTGACGCTTATTGGCGTGACCTGCTCCAGAGCCAGACAGGTGAGGAGTTTCAATGGAGCAATAATAATATAATGATATGGTGCTGCATCCCTGACAAGTGGGAGAATGAATGTCATTACTAAAGCAAGACACTCGACACAAATCAACGTTTCCTTACTTCAGCTGTAGCTACATATTTACACATTTTATATTGACCAAAAGCATCATGATAAATTGAGAAAAATGTGAAAAAATTGAATAAAATGCATCTTACTGACTAAAGGTTTGGAATATTTGTACACAGACTCCATCCTTTTTTCTTTCCTCAAGAAGAGTTCAGTTCTTCTCTCCTACAGGTCATATGGTGTTTCCGTTTCAGCAGTAAATCCTTTTCCATGAAAGCAAACGCTGAAAGTCTGTTCTGTCGCGTTTCTGACAAATTTTACTTTGCTTTAGGGTTGAGAATGTCTGCTCGACATTTAGCTCGTGGAGGACCTAGCACCAGCTGGTTAGCTCTCTGACCGTCCATTCAGACGACATGAATATTCTGATGTTGTCTAATGTCTGCTGGAAGACCCCGGTGTCTCCAACTCAAAATCTGCTTGGTCAAAGCAAGAGTTTCATTATTTATTTTAACCTGCAGGTGCCTGTTGATTCTGAAGCCTCGGGGAAGATTTATTTGACCCTAGCAACAGATGATGGTCAAAATATGACTGGATGAAAGATCTATATAATCATACTACTGGAAGCTGCAACCAGGAGAAAAGCTGAAGAGAACAGACATCTCAGAATAATATTAATAGAAAAAATAAACTAAAATGGCAGTTAGTGATTCTTATTGTATTTAGGCCAGCAGAGAAGACTTTGCTGGTCCTGATGACGATTACCACTGATCAAATGGCAATGCAGGTGTCCAAAGATGAGCTCATGAAGTTCAGAAACCGTCCGTGGAGCAGAGAAGCAATTGCATGAGAGGGAGAAGTTCTCCTTTTGCTGCAAAAGGAGGATAAATCTTTTCTCAGCTGTTGGCATACATTCACAAAATTTAATAAAACAAAATAATACACATCATCATTGCTATAGCCATTCATCCATCTTTTACCTGAATTAGCTATTTTATGCACCTTGACTGAGCCGGTGGAGGTGCATATGATTCAATGGAGGGATGAACTGAGTGGAACCCCTTTGCAGATTATTTACTTAGATAGAAATACAAAAGGGGAAGCACAAATGAATAAAAAAGCCATTATTTTGTGTTTAGTTTTTGCTGTTATTTGTTCAAGAAAAGCATATTTTTGTTTTCCTGATATTTATCCACTTAAAATTGTTTATTTTACATCAGCCCACTCGCATATTGTTCATACACTAAATGCAGACACCTCATATTGTAAGTTGCAAATTATGTTTTATATAAAACTGGAATATGTGAGTGTTGGCTGAAGTCCATGGACAAGTCTGCTACTTCCTGCAACACACAGGGCCAGACCACACACATCGTCTCCTTAGAGCTTTTTTCCTGATCTTACATACCTGCAAAATTTGTGACTTAAAGACTAAAAAAAACGACTGCATTCAAAACCGAAACCAGTCTGAAAACTTAAACCAGTAGGTACTTTTGCTAATATTACAGGAATTTTATTAAGCTTAACCTTATCTCGAATAATAAACCAAAGCTGTTTCTGTTTCAGTTTTCGTGCAGATTTTATAGCCGCAAGAAATGAATATCCTACCCACACACCCTTGACTTCCACCACTAGTCCCCGTGTAAACATTAAAGAACAATATGCAGCCACACACTGCAACAAGCTTACATGACTAATGTTCGGCTTTATGGAGTCAATTGCGGAGCTGTGACTGGGTGCTGATCAGCACTGCTCAATCCTGGGAATGTTTCAAGTTGCACACGGTGTTGCACACACATGCAAGCGAACACACCCTTGCACACACACACACTCGTAAAGTACTGAGGCACTCCTTGCTGTCGCACTTACCTCCTGAACATTTGTGACGAGAGTGCAGCTGAAGTAGATGAAGCAATCTGTAATTAAGTCTTTGTCATAATATCCGATATGTCACTAAAACCTCCCCACCACCCCTCTCATTTTAGTTACTTTGTGTTTTAGTAGTTTTGAGTCAGGTTATAAAAAAAGAACAAGGTTCTCGGAGTGTAAACATCGTTTAATTCATTTACACGCTTTACCTCTGATTTCACGAGGGTAGTTTACAAGTTGTGCAAACTTTAATAAGGCACAGTCATCTGAGTAATTTTCATTTGGCAATTATTATTATTATTTTTTTAAAGAAGAAACTATGACCCTCACTAAGATTTTTAACTAATCCCATTTCTTTCCCATGTGCTGCAGCCGAATGAGGAAGTCCTCTAGCTGTTTATCAGGTCACTCACCACCTGCAACAGAGTTATGAAATCACCAACTGGACGAGCTCTGTGTTTACTGTGGCTTTACTCCTGCGTGCTTGAGCAATAAACAGTTATTAGTTTTTTTTTTTCCTTCCTTGTTTGGGAGTCAAAGGGTGAGTTTCAGTTAGAAGAAGTTTGCTGCCCCTTCAATCACCTGCTTTATTTATCCATAACGGTAAAATATCCTTCAAAACAACTAAATATTCCACTGTAAAGCAGCTGCAAGTTATAATCTGTATTAGTTGAATTATCTTTAGCTGAAAATATGTGCAATCTTTTATTTATTATAATTTGGTTTTGTGGTCTGAGTCATAACTATAGGGGTTAATTAAATCTCACATGATGCTTCTAATTAAAACAGACAACTCTCTTTTGGTTGTCTGCCTCTGTTGCCGTGGCGTTAGGCTGCTGGACTTCGAGTTTCTTCTCCCGGAGATTCCTCGGGCTAAAATGAATAATGAGGATTAAAAGAAGGAAGGACAGCAGACAGATGTTTGGGCCTATTTTTTTCTGATTAAGTTGTTCTCTCTGGTGTGTGTGGGGGACGCAGAGTCAACAACATCAGGAGGCTTCGCTGAAAAATGATACACATTTTTTTTTCGATTTGAATAAATCCCTCAGCATATTAACTTGAAGTTTGTTTTTGTTTTTGTGTTTTGTACGTGTTGTGGGGTGTGTCTCAGTATTTAGATTGCACACTTTGGACTTTCTTTGCTGTCAAGAGCAGGCAAGTTGAGGAATGTGTCTGGGGCATTACAGTGGCACCTGCGTTTCTTATAAACTAAAGCTGAATCATCTGTTTTCCTGCAGCCCTTTTAGAAATGCTAAACTTTGCATTACAATGTATAAAAATCAAACTCAACTACTTACATAATGTATATGCATGCACTATATGTGTGTGCGTGTGTGGCTGTGTATAAAAGAGGTGTTAACACAGCTGACTCCCTCCTCCTCGCCTGTCAGAACCTGCCTGAACAGCTGAGAAAAAAAAAATATATATATATATTTACAGCAGATGATAACTTGTTCTTTAAAAATGCACTATCTACCATGAAAACTACATTCAGGACAAAAAAAAGCATTTTCCTTGTTAAACAGTAGCGTTGCATTCTTTATTTAGACATATTTTATAGCGCGCGACAAACAATAGTTAAAGTAAGAACACTACCATTTTTTGGTGGATTGCATATCATCTTCTGGCTTGCATAGTCAAGTTTTATAAAGGATCTTGTTAGTGTGTGTGTAGTATGTGAATGCAATGACTTAAAGCTAAAATACCAAAATTCAAATCTGTAAAACTGGCTTGAGTTACAGCTATTTTTATGTTTGCATGGGTTGATTAGCTGTGATGGCCATCTTGAATTTGATTTATTTGAAACGGTAGGCAGTTGTGGATGTCTCTTACTTTTGAGTGTTTCAATGAATTTTGTCTTAACGGTTCATGTGGTATTTTGCTAACACAGTCAAATGAGCATGCACGCAGATAAAGGCAGTTGCATAATCGGCCACCTTTCATGGCAGCGAGCGATAAATATAAATACAAAGTATGTATGGGCCTGTTGTTAATTATAATGTGTAAAGATTGGAGTTTCCTTTAAAGGGCTTTTATTCCTTTGATGAAATCTGAGATAAAATCTGTGTTTTTCCAAGGAACACTAAGAGACCTGATTCTGGTCATATGGGCTTGTTTGAACTTTTCTGCAGTTCTTCAGAAAGGTTTAGGCTCTTGCCAGGAAAATCCCAGATGACTGGAGCCAGAACCTGCTGCATCACTGAGATGTGATTTCAGTTTGTGATGTAGCCAAGATTTTTATTTTTTTATGCAAGTTATGACAGCGCAGATCAAATTCACCACAATTGGTGAACATTTTTAATTAATGGTACCAAAGTGTGGAATGAAGCCTTTGTGACTGATTTACAGGGTTATATTTTCAGTTATATTTTCTCAAAAGCTTTTTTTTTTATGTTTTCCTGCAGTATGCCAGGGTATCACCAACCGTTTAAACCTTCTGGGTTCTAACGAAGACCACTACCTGAACATGGTGAAGACTTACAGCAACTGCACCGTGGTCCTGGAGAACCTGGAGATCACCTACATGGAGGAGCATCGCGACCTGTCCTTCCTCAGAGTAAAATGAACTTTTTAAACAGTTGAACAGAAACTAATGAAGTGTTCTTATTTTCTAGTTGTTGATTTGGTTTTAAGAAGCTCAGTTGTAAAGATAAGGAACCACACAAACACATATATACACACACGCTCACATTCTGCAAAAGGGACTTTTATGTCCCATTTGTGTCTCCTTCTTGTTTGCTTTCACACAGTAAAACTGTGGGTTTTGCCAGTGGGCTGACGAGGTGTCCTTTGTGAGTCTTTTGACTCAGACTTACACACACAGTGGTCAATTTACCATAATCTCCAAGATGGACAAATTTCCTGAATTCACTAAAAAAGTCGGCTCAGTTGAAGCACCCATTACATAAATTCTTGTTACTGTTGCAGAAAGAAATGCTGTAAATTCCTAATTTGTAAAATGCAGATAGAATGAAATACCAATAATATACCAAAGTTCATTCTCATTAATCAAGGTATACATCCAACAATGTTCAGTCAGGTCATCTGGATGGTTTATTTTGTTGCTGAGACATTCCATCCTTCATCCAAAGGACTTCTTCAGTCTGAAGAGCCACCAAACCAAACTGAAGCCCACAAACAGCTCACTCCCAGAGTAGAAAAAAAACAGTTTGCTGGTGATAAGATGGCTTCAGGGGCCCACCCTCTCCACCGTCAACTCCTCTAAGTAAGGCAGACCATGCCAAAGTGGTTCAAAACACACACACATACATATATATATATATATATATATATATATTCGTTTATTGTGGGGGATCCGTACCCAAAAGCCCCGCGATAAGTGGAAAAACCACGAAGTAGGGATATTAGTACAAGTATGTATGTACA